GAGTTCGCTGCAAGTCGGCGGAAAGTTTGGCGGCGCGGGTTCCCCCGAAGTTCAGGTGCGGAGAGCCAGGGACGGGGAAGGAGGGGTCCGTGTTTGGGAGAGACGGGGGGCGCCAGCAGCCCGAGCCAAGGAGCCCTGGAGCCTGGGAGACCTAGCGCCGGTGATCGCTCGGTGGCCGCTGCTGTACCCAAGCCTCCCCAAGCCGCAGTATGCTCGGTCGCAGATCACTGAGTTCAGACAAAAAGAGGGGTTTTAGGGTCGGGGACGGCGTGTTGGGCGCCGTCGAGTGGGGCCGAGGCTCTCCCTGCGGGGTAACGCCTCCTCCCCAATTACTCGACCTCACCCGCGTTGGGGCAGCGGACACCCGGGGTCCTCACTTCTCGGTGTTGGGCGGGCGCCTCCCTTACGGGGGCGGCTGCTCGGAAATCTCTGGCGTGCACTGCCCCCCACCAAACCGGTTCGCAGCCCTATGTTTGGGGGGACGACTGTAACTGCTCTGAGCGCCCTCGACCACGCTTGGCTGAGCTTCCCACTCCACTGGCAAGAGGCGGTGTCCACTTCTGCATTTCCCCTCCGGCTCCTCGCCCTCGCAGCCCGCGGGGTGCCTGGCGGGCTGATCAAGTTTGACCCCCCCAGACCAAGTATCACCCCCATCATCGCCGAGCCCCGCAGCTTCACTCTCCTTTTCTCCCCAGGCTTAGGGAGGCTTTTAGGTTGTCTCTGGAGCTCCGCGTGGGCCAAGCAGGGTGCAAAACCAGGGAGGGAGAATGGGGGTGTTCCTCCAGCTGCAAAGCTGTGGGGGCCCGGCGTCCCAGGCGCCCGCCTTTCTGCTTTGGCCCCGAATTTACCCCTGAAGTTCGGCCCTAGTCCCCCTCCCCTTCGCTTCCCCTGAGCTGGGAGGGGGTAAAAAAAATAGAGGAATGTGTTAATTTTCTGACTGGGGGAAGTTGTCCTCGCCCGGAATGGGCTGCTTTCCGGCGGGGTGCGCCTGGCTTTGTTTATTTGCAGGATCTGCAGAAAGTGAGTGACCCCAGTTTTTAAATGGGGGACTACCTCCGGGACCTGTCAGAAGCGTGGTCCAATGAGAGATCAAGATTTTTTTTCTCTCTCTCCTTGTAATCGGAAGGGGTGCACGGAGTTAGGCTGGTGCCAGGGGCTTCAAGGAGGCACCACTAGATTTGGGGGGCGTCTGTAGTGACACATCAGGAAAGACCCGTTTCCCCAAGTGTCTGGCGACAGGGCTCTGCAGGTTCGGCAGCCGCGCCCTACTCTGTCCTCTGGACCCTGGGTGGTCTGAGAGTCGTGTCTTCGGATGCGGGGAACTTAACGGGGGGCGGCGGGCCAGCCCCTAGATCCGCGCCTTTCCCTGCGCGGCGGGCACTGTTTCGAGTCCTCGGTTTTGTGGTGACCCAACCCCTCCCCGCGTTTGCTCAGGAAGCGCTGGGGAGGGGGGCGTGTGTGATCGCTCGGCCCTCGCCCCCGCCGGAGCCGCCCCAGGGCCGCTGGCAAACAGAGTCCCTTCTGTCGCTGCGGACTTGTTTGGAGCGCGATTTGAACGCCCGGCGCCACCTCAGCTGCCCTGGCCCGCGGGGGTGGGAGGCGCCCTTCTCTGCTATTGGGAGCATTTAAATTAGACTTTTTGGGGGCCTATTGGCCTAAGCTTGACCTAACTTCCCCCCGGAAAGACCCCCGTACTCTGGATTCCAACCGCCACTGGAAACCAAGGGACTGCGATCCAAAGCCCCCGCCAAACCCTTTTTTGAGAGCCAAGCTGGAGACTTAGACCAGCGCTACATACCGTAACTGCGTAGTGTTGATTTAGCAGTTTCCCTAGATGAGAGTCAAGCTGGGGCTGGTGTGTGTGTTGTGTGTGTTGGGGGGGGGGGTGGCCCGCTCTGCCGCTGTCACCCCCTCCCAGAACGGAAACTGTCCTCTCTCCCTGGGGAGGAGGGAGAGGGGGTGATTTTTGCCCTGAGAAGGGGTGGGAACAGTTGAGGGAGGCTGGTCTCTGAGGCAGCCCTGGGCAGCTTGGTAGAATCCCTCCCCTCCAATCTGGGGCTGTCCCAGGGAAGCCCCTAGCCAGCCTCCCACCTCCCTCTCTCATGCCACCTCCCTTTCCCAAGGTAGGGGCAGAGGTTTCTCAGCAGAAGACAGACCCTTGGCGGGCTGGCTGTTGGTGGGTGCCTTATTTATGTGTGTGTTTGGGCTCGGCTGCTCTCGTGGCTCGGCAGGTGACCCTGTCCTGGGCCTCCTATCTCTCCCCCGACAGAGCCTGTTGACTTACCCCAGGGCCAGCAGCCTCGTCTTTATCACGTGAGGCCTGGAATGTCCACCCGGCTGGGTTGGGCCTGGTGGGGGAAGGGGAGGGGAGTATTCTGCATCCAGAGCCAGGCCAGCACTGGTCTACTCTGTGGACTCCCACCGGCTCTGCGGCCTCTTTCCATCTGGTCCTGCCTTCTACCCATTTGGTAAATGTGAAACTGAGGCTGTAAAGTGTAGGGGCAGGGTTGCATCTGGATAAAGAACCAAGTCCCTGGCAACTAAATACCCCGTCTTTAGGACCCCATCTCATATTTCGTGGGAAAGTAGAATGGAGATGGGGGGAGTCTCCCTAGGAGGGAGAGAGGGATATGGGCTGGGTTCACACCAGCCAACCTTCCAGGGTCAGGATGGTGTGGGCGGTTGGAGGACTACAGGTAATCTAGACGGAGGCCTCCTCTCTAGAGTGCCCTGTCAAGGCTGACCTCCCGAGCAAGGTGCTCAGAAGCATGCCTCAACTGGTCAAGGATGGGCAGGGGCCCACTTACCGATGTTACTGTTACCCACTCACTGGGTATTGCCCACCCTGTGCTTGTAATCACGTGTCTTTGCTGGCCCGATGTGTATGTATTGAGCACCCACCAGGCATCAAAGCCCACCCTTCTAGGGGTGCAGACTTGAATTACTCTGCCCTGCTCTGGAGGCAGGCCCAGAATGAAAGCTCCACCCCTTTTCCTGCCCCCTGGGGCCCTGATTGGGGCTTCCCTCTATTTTTTTTTCCTTGAGGCGCTCTGTTTTAAACCCCCCACCTTGTCCCATCCTAGCCCTGTGTGTGTAGGTGTGCATGTGTGTGTGTGAAGTGTCCTTGATGAAGTGTATTAATAGTTAAACTCGCTCATAGCTGAAACTCACCAGACCACAAAAAGCCTCCCCCGTTACTCACGCGCTACTGCCCAACAAGAATATCCCACCAAAGTTTTTTTCTGCTTTCTCTTACTTCCCCCTCGCCTTCCCCCACGCCTTTCCCCCAATGCCGAGCCCACTCCCCCAGGCTGTGAGCAATGAGCAGGGACTGCTGCCTGGAAAGACCCAGGAATCTCCAACCCACCACCTGCCCCCTAAAGCCAGAGGGCGTGACAGCTGTCAGCACTGGTCAGTTAGTCTAGGATGTGGGGTCTGGCCAGTGTATGGGCTTATGGCTCAGGACATGGGTGTCTCTGAGTCGCATGTCTGTATTGTGCATTTTTGTTTTAAATGTCTGTGTGTCTGCCTATCTTAAGGTGTTGGAGTCTGAACATGTGTGGATTTGTGAATCCAAGCATGCATGTCTATAGATCTAGAAGAGTGTGTGTCTGCACTATGTGTGTGTGTGTGTGTGTGTACACTAGATTGTATGGTTGAAAGTTGGGGGGTCGGGACCGGCAGGTGGTGTGGTGGATAAGGGCACTGGACTCCCACATGGCTGACCACAGTTCGAGTCTTGGACCTGGTGGCTTGCTTTCTCACTCTCCCTCTCTCAATCTCTCTGTGTCTTTCTAGTCAAATTTAAAAAATAAAATGAATGAATAAATAAAATTAAATAATTAAAAAAAAAAAGAACGTTGTGGGGGTCGGCAGGTGGAGTGGTGATTAAAGGTGCTAGATTCCCACATGACCAATCTCAGTTTGAGTCCTGGACCTGGCAGCTTGCTTTCTCACTTTCTCTTTCTCTCTGTCTGGTCAAATTAAAAATAATAATAACACATGGAAACAAATAAATACTTCTTTTTTAAAAAGAAATTGGGGTATGTCTGTGAATCTGGGAATGTATATATTCTTACTTGTATGTGTTTGGAATGTTGGAAAGTTTGTGTTTGCAATGCCTGTACATCTGTGTGTTCCATATGTGCTTATCAGCCTAG